TACAAATGTTAACGTTTAAAAGACACCAAACATTGTTGCCCGATCATTTCCAAATTTTTAAGCGAAGAAGCCGCGGAGCGATTCCTTGCACTTTGGACTCTGTGTAACCCTGCACACCTAGTTTAACGACGTTTTGATTAAACCGGATAGAACACCTCTTCAAAGGTCCGCAATTAACAATGTACCGCAAACACTGGAACAGGGAACTGGGATCATTGAGAAATCTCACTCAAACGTCCAAAAGATGAGCGCACCTAATGTGAATACTAGGTGTATCGACTTAAACTTCGATCATTCATTCGTAGTAGCAACAAGCTCGAATGCCATCGTTCCTTGGTCTATTGAAACGACTAGCGCAACGAACAGATAAAGCGGGTTCTCCAATTTGGACAGCGGCAGTTCCACTAAATTGAATTCCTTTCGCATAAGAAGTAATAGGAAGTGATCGGAACAGTGGAGCGGTGGCAACTCATTGGCTGTATCACAATCCGGTCTTAACATCCAAGGCAAGTCTAAGGATAGATCATCTGATGTAATCCATAGCTTGCTGCCGCCAACGGATGAGTTAAACAAGCATGGACCAGTGTCTTCAAAAAGCGTATAGCTACGAAATACTCGGTGGCACCAAAAGTTCCTTATCGACCAGTCCCCTACAACTACCACTTAAAGCAATCTTTGTTATATAAGACCGATAACAACTGTCTCTCGGCTATGCCTAGTTATCATCCCACAGTTTGCAAAAAGCAATGGAAGCGTACAAATAGCGGAAGCAAATCTGCAGAAGGACAATATTACCCTTACACTGTTCCATGTTCATTCAACATCACACACAGTCTCTTGCAACACGCCTTTTTATAGGTGGCGGCAATGGACTCGCGCCCTTTCCCCAAGTAAATACATCCGGCAGGAGTCAACTGTGTGATTCCACTCTTCTTCTAATCTGTCCGAATGACAAGGCTAATCAGGTGTCAAGCCAGCGGCAATAAAAAATGGTTTCTTGGCTCTTCTCAACATTCGCACGTGACACGCTGTACCTATACCCAAACTCGATCTAACAACTCTCGCACTTATCTACCAAGTGTACCATACTCCAACTCATGCGATTATGCGACGGACAGCGGTAATCCCCAAGTACAAAGTATGTGATATTGGTGTGATCGTGCAGGATGATCTAGAATACTCAAGACAAGCCGAGAATGGAAAAACCTAGCCAAGACTTGGGCTTGCTATGTAGAGCAGTTTGGGGCTTGATTATGCAATCTTTTCCCAAATGCTGAACACTTAATTGAGGTCAAGTGCCGAATACGCATTCAAGATGCGGAACGCTTGACAAAGATATGATTTCAGCGCTACTAAAGTATCCACAACGGAAGGTGACAAAATGCTAAAGGATTGCTCCACCTTTCTTACCAGTTTAGACTAAAGACCAGAAGCTTTTAGTGAACAGTGTCGTCTGTGAGGTGATTTCATATTGACGTATCAGGTACTCAAGGATTCTAACCACCCATCCGAAACTTATTGACACTCAGACACAACACCTCACAGAGAGGCCACCATTTGAATTTGGCCATACAATACACAACTGGTTGGAATGCCGCCAGAACTCCTTTGCTCCATTCGTGTAATCCAGCGGTTGAACTTACTTCCACATTCCCCGACATTACAGTTCTAACGTTGGCTGAATTCAAAACTCTACTTGATGATGCATTACGCCAAACAATTTTCTAATGGTTAACTCGAGCTCATCAGTCTCGCAATTACCTACCATATGTACCATGCTCGAACCCAAACAGTTAGTTGACCATGCAAGAGATAGCAGCAATTCCCCAACACTTGGTATACTTTCTGTGCTTCTTCTTACTGCCAAATCCATAATCAATAAACATCAGGTCTAAACATGCACAGCTCAATGATCCACAAGTGTTCCTCGTCACTGAAACATGATGTTCCTCTGATACACTTGTTTCTACTCTGATGATTTCAAGCTACCACCTATTTGGAAGAGATCGCTGCACCAGAAACAGTGGAGGGTATAACATACACGTAACAAAATAGTTGAACGTATCGACCACACAACTGCAAAATGTCCCCTCAAACAGACATCACTTTAGCTCGCCCAAGCCCTCTTGTAAGGCCGTTTCGAGCATTCGCAACGGACCTGATCATGCCCCCTATTCACTTCAGGTTTGACACCGTGATCCGGACATGTTCACTGCCGCGGCTGCCTCCGTCTCGATTCCGGAACTGTGCTGATTTCGCCTTGCCACTGCGTCTCAGGCTTATAATTTGTATCAGTTCGTAAATCAGCAACTTCGCCCATACACCCCCACTGTCCAGTGCTAGCGCGGACGGACATATTGCGCACCTAGACGAGTGGATGGCTGAGGTCCGTGTAGCAAGACCTTAACTACCACCCCTTTGGGTTTGACAACGCGGATGTCTCTTAGCTAGCATGGGCGTCGGCGTAACCACTGCTCGCTAAACACCTTCCAAAGCGTGATCGTCCTGTACCTTAAGTGGCCCTAGGTTCAACAGCCAATGCAGTATATTCTGGTCCGAACGCTATTGGCTGATTTGCCATTGGTAAAAACGAACGGTACACATTATGTGCGTGTGCACAAACAGGATACAATTTGACTGCGTTGTAGACTAGGTTGAGTAGTCTTACGGAGGAAAATAAGTCCCGTAAAGAGCATTTCGACGATACTGTGGATGCAAATGGCTGGGAGAAGGTGTAGTAGGTTTAGTTTAATTGAAATGAAACAGTAACATCAACCCCGACGCTTATGAAGCAGTCTCTTTCCTTTTTATCGTGGCTGCAACTTCGAAGTTGTCATTTCGGTTGCGCACTAGCCACTACGCACCGCCCGTCTGTAGTGAGAACACTGATCTGTTATTCCTACGTACAAGCTAACTCGTGGTGCTTACCATCTAGCTGTTTGTGTGTGCATCACTGGATTTCATATACTGAAAACATGCCACCGGTTATCTTGTTCACGACAGAGGATCGACTTATTCTACACACTATACACTCAGCTTTTTTGGAGTATGGTTTGGTTGATCCATCACATCTAGACTCAGTCTGACAACCAACAAAAGCCCAGAAAAGCCCTGTACAGCTGTTTCATCCTTTTGGGAAGTGTCATCAGTGCGCATTCCCTCTGGCCCCTGTGAGGTTAGAATCAGCAATTTGAGTGTAGTGAAGATTACTGGATTACGGAAGACGGTAACGACCGAGGTGACTAACTTACAAGATGCGATAAAAGACACTTGTCGCTTGGAGACGCGGACTGCAAATCCCAGGATAAAGGTGGTCACGTATCATTTACATCATGGGACAATATGGCTGATATTGCTTGGTATATAGTACGGCGTTAGCTTCATGTCACTGCGTAACCGATTGGCAGTTTTAGTTTGATCCGAAAGTCACCTGCTTCAGCAACGCGTTTCCCTTTGGCATCATTCGCATCCCCCGCATTTTGGGTATAGCTCACATGTAGACCGCTATCTGTGTAATCCAACCTGATTGTGCACATGCATTGGTTAGTAATAAGTGTCTTGTAGTTCCGCTGTGCCGGTACCGCAGCCGGCAAGGCATGTGGTATGTCCCAACGCTTCAGTCGGAGCTTAACTGACTTGTGCGTCTATCCTCCGTGATATATCAGACCGGGCTGGGCTCGAAGCGAATTTTGGCAAGGTGCCTATCTGTCTGATTCTGCCAACTGCAGTACCTCCCCCGGAAGACTGCTAATGGCTAATGGAAAAAAGGGATGTGCAGTTCTTGTGATGGTGCTGGGTCCAACGGATAGATCCACCATGAACAGGCCCGGTATGCCTCAAGGATGCGAGTGCGAAAACAGTTTCGACGAGCTCCGGTTCAGTTGTGGATCCATGGTAGGCGGCATCCGGTTTCGGATTTGCCTGTCACTGTGGCAAGCCACAGGACGCCTGCGCCTACAGAGGGACCATGGATGGCTTGCGCTGAAACACCCACAGCTCCAACCACATACCCCATATCCAGTGTAAACCCGAAGGAATAAGACCGGGAGGCATGCGGATGGGAACCACGTTTCATCAACGGAGCCGGCCCACACTCCTTCACAGGCAAACACAAGCACGCTGTATCTGGGGAATCAACCGCACACAAGGCGGTGGCTGGACCGTAGTCCGCTCCACACTGAGTGCATGGAACCGCTCTTTGAGCCTAGCACGGCCACAAGAACCGTGCACCCCGTCCCCTCCAGCAATGACAAACTGTCTCCTGGAGCCAGTATGAACGATGTAGTGGGTAATAGACAGGTAGGCACCTTGTCAACATACACATCAAGCGCAACCATACCAGGGATATCAAACAACAGCCATTCAATTTAAACGACAAGATGAAATAAAATAAATCCAATAATGCATACAGATACGGTGGCATAACTCTTCGCTAAATTACCATATGAAGTAATTTGGTTAGCAACAAATCCGTGATAAGTAAGAAATGTCCACAAGTTACTTAAAATGCTACAAACGCAACAAAATTACCGAAGATAAGCGCAATTAGTGTAAGCAACGTGGCCAGTTAATAGAACATTATTCAGGGAGGCAGAACAAACCAAATAAAGCGGAATGAAATTTATCCAGCTTAAAAAGACCTAGTTTAAGTGAAAGTTGGTTTAGCCCAACTGTGGTGAAGAAGCATCAAGAATGCAACATCAGCCTCAGCATGGGGCACAGTTGTGGATCCAACACGCATCAATACATGCCTTATTCGTTCGGGATAACACAAGATGCAGGGTGACGCGGCGCTGCACAGTGCGGCGAAAAGTATACGCGCATGTGCCATGTCGCCGATCACAATCACAGTGAAATGGACAGACAAACATGGAAACTGATGCCGCCAGCCATGTGCGTGCACCTGATGGTGATGGTGACAACGATAACAGATTCGACAATTTTGAGTGTTACGTAGGTTAACCCCGTGAGTGCGTAAAAAAACGGCAGATTCTACTTACCTTCATCCATCACGAAGATCCGAGCGAAAGTAATAAGATCCCACAAGCTTGACAGATCACCGGTGATGTTCCGTTCTAATGGACTAAGAAACAAAAAACAGAAACAATGAAGTTCTCCGATTTGTCTAACAGTCTCCCCCGTGTGAGTATTGTAACACACCTGATCAACCGAAGCCAGTTCCCCTCGTCGATCTCACTCACTGAATGCTTTACGCATGTTCCCTAGTTACTTGTTTTCCATGCCAAACTTACAGTTCGGGCACCACCAGTATGGTTACTCCTTTTTCGATTCAAGCTCCGCTCTCCAGTTCGCTTAATGGTAATTGTTCTCCCCCACACACTATCTCGGCTACTGTCCGATTCCCGTTTCGACCTTCGTTTCTGCTACCCTCTGACCGGTGACACACACCTACCCATTTAACTGAGCTGTTCAGCTGATGTGATTGGACTAATGTCTGTTAGTCTCCTGATTGGCTCGTTTGTACACGCCCAGCCTAGACAGGCTCAGTTGCTGAATTCAACACGAGAGATAGATAACCTACCGAGGGTTTGATAAGAGTCTTTCGATTCTGCTCAGTCGCTCGTAGATCAGCCGCGCAGGTCAGGGTGAGATTGGAGCGCACTAATTTGCCGACCCACCAATGGCATGTAAGTCTACTGTATTTACTCACCCACGCATGTCTGGGGGTGTGAATACGACGTGAGGACGCATAGCGGTGCATGTGTCCTTGAAATATGTTAATTACCCCCGGCGATTTTGACACCGCTCAGTTCAGATTGGGTCGCTGCCGACGTTTTTGGCTGGTGGTTTGCAACATCTCGACAGCAGTGCATAATGCATTGGCTACCGTGTTCAAATGTTGGTGGCGCTTCGACAGTTGCTTAATGTTATCCCAGCAAATGATAAAAGGGTTAGTGACAACGCTGTTGTAGACAGAATGTTACCTTCACATAAACCACCTTAGCAAAATAAGAATTCGTAACAATTAGACGGTGAAAATATGAGATGCTACTTCTGCATAAATGAGTCCGGAAAAGCTGTCGTTGACAGACTACTCCCGTCACAGTCTTGATAGCAATTGCAGGAACCAAGTGGGGTGCACGCTGTCTAATTTGTTTAACAGTGACCGTGACGGTGTAACATGAAAGGCTGACAGTGTCGCTCAGTCTCTCAGGAAAACGTAGGTGTATATCAATCGAAATGATCGTTACATGCTGCCGTGTATGCCAATTAAGAGACTACTCGCTGCACGTGTTTGTGGAGAAGGACTGCCGATAAAATCGCATTGTATGCGTCATTGCACAAAAACGATCGAGGAGCTGTGTCTAAGCTAAGCCCAAGAAGATGCCATCAATTGCACATAATCGCACCCTGTCCGTGTATTCCAGAAACAGCTTGGGACAAATTTGTGGGCACGTTCACATCCCTAGTCGCGAAGGCATCAGAACCGAAAGCTTTTCATCCTCCCCTCAAAACGAAATCTTTTCAGAGAAGCCGAACACGAAAATATATGGCCTTGAGGGAACGGACTTGGCATGGTTATAGAAACAATCGCAGTTCAGAAAATTGGACGGTGTACGCAACTCAGGCGAACGACTCTGTGCACTTGGTGCGCGAGGACAAGTTCACAAACTAGCAGTTTGATCCGGCGAAACATTCACTGTGGAAACGGTACTGAAAATGCCATTACCCTTGAGTACACACGGATCTCTTGGAGTGGACAATATCCACCCCAAAAGCACTCAAGGTAACAATCACATACCTAGCCGGATTATTTCAGCCATCTCTGGACTGCAAAATAGCTCCGTCGAAGTGGAAACTAGGTTTCATCAATCCTATTCACAAGGGAGCAAGTCGGTACGAGCCTGCCAATAACCGCCCGGTAATCTTCTCCCGGTGTTCGCCAAAGTTATGGAAGAAATTCTGGCCGACGCATTGACGGGCTATGTGGAATGCCATGGTATCTTTATCTACGATCTAGCCAGTGTAATCACCCCAACCCTGTCGGCCAACGAGACCTTTCGGCGCTGAGGCCCATCTATAGGTACAACGATTTCTTCCGTGTACGCTGCTCACGTTAACGTCTTGTTCTCTTCAGGCAACTCCCACAATATTCCCTCCACACTGACGCAATATCGGCACCATTAGCCATAGCAGCGATTTAGTCCTGAAGTCAATGGTTATGCGAAAGATGTATTGAAATGCAGTACGTAAAACAAGTATAACAATCAACGCAGTAGATGCTCGAAATGCCCACCGCCGTTTTGCTGGCACAGCAGCATTCGCCGGATGCTGTTGGCTATAACCCTCTGCAATGCGTCAACCGATATCGCGCGACATTCTTCCACGATGCTCTGCTTCAGTTCTTCCACACACGTGGGTTTCACTTTATAAACTCTTCGTTTCAGGTATCCCCAAAGGAAGAAATCAAGGGGATTCATATCCGGTGAACGTGCCGGCCACTCCATTGGTCCTCCCCGACCAATCCATCGATGACCGAATGTGTCGTCCAGGAACTGACGCACGGTTTGTGCTGAATGGGCCGGTGCACCATCCTGCTGCCACCAAACCGTACTCAACAGTCCTTCCACATGCAACCGCGGAATCACCCACGTCTGCAACATTTCTTTGTATGAAGAGGCTAAGAAGTGTGATGTATTAGTTCTGCTACACAACTTACCCGTCACATTTTGAGAAAAGAAGAAAGGTCCGATGATTGTTCGACTTGTTAGTTCAGCCCAGGCCATGAGCTGTGTGCCATGTTGCACACGGGAAGCGATGCATTGCCGTGGGTTATTGGTGGCCCAAACATGCCGCTTCTGTGTACCATGCAGACGGAAAATGGCCTCATCGGTAAATATGATGGGATGCACGTCCAAGGTATTCAGGTACAAGCGAGCGAATGTAAGAGGATTCACCGAATCGTCTGGCTTTAACACTTGTACTTGCAATGCACCATACCTTCGGAATTTTCTTTCCTTCAATATCCGGTGCACAGCATATGGTGTAGTGGCACAGTGTTGGGCGATTCTCCGAATGCTGAGATAACTATTTCGACGAACCTCTTCTACAACAACACCAGCGGAAATCTCATCCGTGGTAGTACGAGGCCGCCCAGTTCGTTTGGCGTTGCACACGCTCCCAGTTTTGTTAAATTTCTTCACAAGTTGGAGTACGTACTGCCAAAAACGTCGGCAGCGACCCAATCTGAACTGAGCGATGTCAAAATCGCTGCACATTGAGGCCGGTTAACCCGCAGTACGTACTCCAACTTGTGAAGAAATTTAACAAAACTGGGAGCGTGTGCAACGCCAAACGAACTGGGCGGCCTCGTACTACCACGGATGAGATTTCCGCTGGTGTTGTTGTCGAAGAGGTTCGTCGAAATAGTCATCTCAGCATTCGGAGAATCGCCCAACACTGTGCCACTACACCATATGCTGTGCACCGGATATTGAAGGAAAGGAAATTCCGAAGGTATGGTGCATTGCAGGTACAAGTGTTAAAGCCAGACGATTCGGTGAATCGTCTTACATTCGCTCGCTTGTACCTGAATACCTTGGACGTGCATTCCATCATATTTACCGATGAGGCCATTTTCCGTCTGCATGGTACACAGAAGCGGCATGTTTGGGCCACCAATAACCCACGGCAATGCATCGCTTCCCGTGTGCAACATGGCACACAGCTCATGGCCTGGGCTGGACTAACAAGTCGAACAATCATCGGACCTTTCTTCTTTTCTCAAAATGTGACGGGTAAGTTGTGTAGCAGAACTAATACATCACACTTCTTAGCCTCTTCATACAAAGAAATGTTGCAGACGTGGGTGATTCCGCGGTTGCATGTGGAAGGACTGTTGAGTACGGTTTGGTGGCAGCAGGATGGTGCACCGGCCCATTCAGCACAAACCGTGCGTCAGTTCCTGGACGACACATTCGGTCATCGATGGATTGGTCGGGGAGGACCAATGGAGTGGCCGGCACGTTCACCGGATATGAATCCCCTTGATTTCTTCCTTTGGGGATACCTGAAACGAAGAGTTTATAAAGTGAAACCCACGTGTGTGGAAGAACTGAAGCAGAGCATCGTGGAAGAATGTCGCGCGATATCGGTTGACGCACTGCAGAGGGTTATAGCCAACAGCATCCGGCGAATGCTGCTGTGCCAGCAAAACGGCGGTGGGCATTTCGAGCATCTACTGCGTTGATTGTTATACTTGTTTTACGTACTGCATTTCAATACATCTTTCGCATAACCATTGACTTCAGGACTAAATCGCTGCTATGGCTAATGGTGCCGATATTGCGTCAGTGTGGAGGGAATATTGTGGGAGTTGCCTGAAGAGAACAAGACGTTAACGTGAGCAGCGTACACGGAAGAAATCGTTGTACCTATAGATGGGCCTCAGCGCCGAAAGGTCTCGTTGGCCGACAGGGTTGGGGTGATTACACTGGCTAGATCGTAGATAAAGATACCATGGCATTCCACATAGCCCGTCAATGCGTCGGCCAGAATTTCTTCCATAACTTTGGCGAACACCGGGCGGTTATTGGCAGGCTCGTACCGACTTGCTCCCTTGTGAATAGGATTGATGAAACCTAGTTTCCACTTCGACGGAGCTATTTTGCAGTCCAGAGATGGCTGAAATAATCCGGCTAGGTGCGTGATTGTTACCTTTAGTGCTTTTGGGGTGGATATTGTCCACTCCAAGAGATCTGTGTGTACGCAAGGATAATGGCATTTTCAGTACCGTTTCCGCAGTGAATGTTTCGCCGGATCAAACTGCTAGTTTGTGAACTTGTCCTCACGCACCAAGTGCACAGAGTCGTTCGCCTGAGTTGCGTACACCGTCCAATTTTCTGAACTGCGATTGTTTCTATAACCATGCCAAGTCCATTCTCTCAAGGCCATATATTTTCGTGTTCGGCTTCTCTGAAAAGATTTCGTTTTGAGGGGAGGATGAAAAGCTTTCGGTTCTGATGCCTTCGCGACTAGGGATGTGAACGTGCCCACAAATTTGTCCCAAGCTGTTTCTGGAATACACGGACAGGGTGCGATTATGTGCAATTGATGGCATCTTCTTGGGCTTAGCTTAGACACAGCTCCTCGATCATTTTTGTGCAATGACGCATACAATGCGATTTCATCGGCAATCCTTCTCCACAAACACGTGCAGCGAGTAGTCTCTTAATTGGCATACACGGCAGCATGTAATGATCATTTCGATTGATATACACCTACGTTTTCCTGAGAGACTGAGCGACACTGTCAGCCTTTCATGTTACACCGTCACGGTCACTATTAATCAAATTGGACAGCGTGCACCCCACTTGGTTCCTGCAATTGCTATCAAGACTGTGACGGGAGTAGTCAGTCAACGACAGCTTTTCCGGACTCATTTACTCAGAAGTAGCATCTCATATTTTCACCGTCTAATTGTTACGAATTCTTATTTTGCTAAGGTGTTTTATGTGAAGGGAACATTCTGTCTACAACAGCGTTGTCACTAACCCTTTTATCATTTGCTGGGATAACATTAAGCAACTGTCGATGCGCCACCAACATTTGAACACGGTAGCCAATGCATTATGCACTGCTGTCGAGATGTTGCAAACCACCATCCAAAAACGTCGGCAGCGACCCAATCTGAACTGAGCGGTGTCAAAATCGCCGGGGGTAATTAACATATTTCAAGGACACATGCACCGCTATGCGTCCTCACGTCGTATTCACACCCCCAGACATGTGTGGGTGAGTAAATACAGTAGACTTACATGCCATTGGTGGGTCGGAAAATTAGTGTGCTCCAATCTCACCCTGACCTGCGCGGCTGATCTACCAGTGACTGAGCAGAATCGAAAGACTCTTATCAAACCCTCGGTATTGTTGTAACGGCTAACTGAGTGTATCAGTCATTTGTTTGAGGACATAGTTGAAGTGTGTCTTTATTTTGACATTCTATTGCTTGTATGATAGCACCATAGTTCAGCATCGACTGTGGCTTTTGTCTTTACCGATGGGGCGCCCCAGTTTCGGTCCTTATCGATTACTGAATTAATCTTGGAGGCCGCAGATTGGATGCCTGTGCATTATTCAACGGTCCTAAACGCTTTTGACGATTACAGGTACAAATGACAAAGGGAAATGACAGAAGTGTAAAATCGGAGGCAAAAATGAGTATTACAGAAGGGTAGTAGGGGGAGTTGAATAGTATAGGTAGAAATTCGTCACATCTAGACTCACTTAGACAGCCGTCACACGCCCGGAAAAGCACTGTGCACGTGTTTCACCCTTTTCGGGAATTGTCAGCAGTGCGCATTCCATCGGACCCTGGTAGGGTTCGAACCCGCAACTCGACTGTTGCCAGTCCGTGGTTGAGGCCACTGAGCTACGGGAGATGGCAATGACCATCGTGAAAAAGTTACTATATGTGATATAGCGCCGCTCACTATCCACTGACTTACACGTCACTGCCGTGCAGAGGACAGGGTAGCCCCCCACCAAGCGACGAGCTTACCAAACTTAAGCCGCCAATTAACTTATGGCATTATAAGCAGTTTGGTCTGCGTACTGATAACAGAATAGTAGTAGGGGGTTGAAACTCGTCAGTTGTGCTTAGGGTGATAGCCACAAATAGATTAGATGCAGCCAAAGTAGCCAAGGTGACAAGTCTTGTTCGACTTGCTGGGACGACCAGAGTGAAAATCGAAAGCGTGCCAACCCAATATTTCAGACGCATGCCACTTTGAGTGAAAGAGCAGGCGGACGCAGGCCCACTTTTGATAAAACCAAAAGTGGAAGATGCACGCAGCTCAGTTCGAGCCATGCAGCACAATCCGAAATAGCCTTATGTACATAAAAGCAAGTACAGATGATTCAGGTGCCGCACGATCGCGGGTAAAAGCAGATGTCTTGATCGATCTCCGCTTTGGTGGGACAAAATACGGCGCGCGAAAACCCATGTGTAGCAGATTTACCCGTCCAGTAAGAGTACGCAACGTTTCGAAAGGAGTAAACTAAAGTATGTAAAGATTTCGGGAATGAAAACAGTCAGTCGCTTGTTTGATGAACAGTAAGTCATTCTGGCCTAATGACTGGCAATATGGCAAATTGGGCCTGAAAAGATAACAGATCTGTAGGCGATGTATAACCTGCGGTGGAGGCAACCCACCGAATACCGCGAAGACATTAGAGAAAAACAAAGCAAGTGGATAAAAAGTTGATAAGCTGCTTCAACAATGAAGGCCAAGTAAAGTATTAGAGACTAACCATTCCAGACCAACCAGTTGCAGCAAACGGAGCCTTTTCATATGAAGAGGATCGGAAGAGCTGACACCTGAACCAGAGGAAAGATCGTTGTCCACCATGATGACAAATGGTTGGAGGAAAAACAAACTATACGTGGTGAAAGAAAGAGAGGTCGGCGACAGCAGTACGCCACAATGATGTTTCGGTATTACGCGAGCACCATCGTCAGTACGCGGGTTAGAGATCCAGAGAGATAACCAACAGCATCAAATCAATGACCAGAAAAGTAGAGAATGTAGTGAGACCCCTCACAGAAAGAGTGACTTGAAGCATTCTGTGAAAGTGGTAATAAACCGATCAATTATAGAGGGGTGCAACAAATAAACTGATTGGGACACGACTTAATAAATATCATATAAATGAAGTCCGATTAGTTGTAGTCAAAGGAGTTCAGATGGTGCAAAACGTGGAAAAACCGTGCGATAGAGTGCATGTGCGAACTGCGAGCCAACCCGCCATAACAATATCATCAGAAAGAATCACGCAGTTGGCTGCTTGACAATCTTTCGTGGTGACTCCATTGCAACTGTGTGCCACGATTAATTAACAAGCGCGTCCATCGAGGACACGACAGTCTTCTAAAAGGAACTATGGTTGGTTAGATTCAAGGAGACTACTTTTGCTGCCGAGGTCGTTTTTGATTGATGTACCGGTCCAGTAACTGTGTGGCATAGGCGGGATACGATGAACAAGTGATAGGCCATCAGCTCAATGTTTTGGTCACGGTGACATGTTGATGGTGTACACAGCTGCTTCACCACACCATGCCGTATGGTAGAGAGTGGAGTCAGCATAAAGCGCACGGACTTACGATATATGCAGGGAGATAGCATAATCAGAAGTTTATATCACGAGCACAATCAAACAGGACCGTTCCTCATACGTGTAGCGATGACATAAGCAGAGTGTGAAAAACAATAGCACCACAGGGATCAGTGGGCGTGCCATTCTACGGGCGCGTCAGCCTCATAAACTGAGGGAAACTAGTTCGGAAAAAGCACCATCCCATAGAGAAAATCAGCACAATTGATCTGAAAAATTGCAAAAAAGTAAGATATTGGGTGGAGGTATGGAAAGAAATATCGTAAAAACAGGGAATAGTAACAAGATGTGGTCAAAAAAAGAAATGAGGAGGAACAACAGAACGAGGAATCAAGGATCATCACTGTGATGAAGCTGTGTCGTATCAAGGTCCGCGTTGGAACACAGTTGAACAGCGCCAAAACGTCACTGAGAAGAGCAAGACCTAAAGGGATAATCTAAAACGGACATGAACACAGTCGGTCCCAAGAGCGAATATTGCATAGTTGACTGAAATATCGCGGAGTACATGCAACGTGAGAGAGGAGCCGGTAAGAGAAATAAATTGGAGAAAAGAAAGGCAGAATTCCCTTAGCTGCATCGAGTTACTGCATCAACGGTACGGGGAGATGCAGGCAGCCAGCAGCACAAATGGATTACCATTTGCAATTCATAATAGAAAGTGAAGGCGTTGGAGAGAAAACAGTGACGTAATAAAGGCTGGTATACGCAACAGGTATCCGAACAATATGAAAAAAACTGGGCAAACGATGTAGGTGAGGCGAGTCCCGTTATCATAACCATCCAGTGTTCCAGGACATGGTGGGTTTTCGCCTGGCAAGCGTTCTCCCTATAAAAAGCCACAAATGTCTGCTTATCAACACTGCGACGTGGCGGATGTGACTCGCCACAAAATAAAGTCACTGGCCCGCGGATATCCGGAAAGTGCTATCCAACCCAAGGATATCAATCGCTTATGCTCACATTCCTGACGATAACAAACAGTCAAAAATGCTGCGGCACATTCAAAAACACAAGCTACATTAATACACAATTACATACGTATATACACCCATACACTTACATACGCTGTTATGCCAAACATGTACTTTTATACATTTTTGATCACACTGTTAGCTAAAGATGATCATGCCTGTAAAGGTGTGTCTCGCATGGTCGAGAATAAAAGTTTATTTATTTATTTATTTATTTAAATCAGAGGCTGGACTGGGTTGGTAAAAATTTCGACGTAACCATTACATGACGCTCATCGTCGCTGCATAGTGTGATGCATTGTGATCAAACGGTTTAGAAAAGGCATTTGCTTGAAGACCCATAAAGTCTTCGCACCGTGTTTGGGTGCTTCCGCTATCGGACAAGTGTTATCAAAAGGAAAAACTGTTTGTCGGCACAAATGAGAATTTACCTGGTTTGTAAACCACTTAAAACACCGTTCAACTGCTCTCAATAATAACGACGAAGCCAAAAAGTTAAGACCCTATCATTAATTCAATCAAGCGTAGACAAACAGCGTAGACAAACTGTCGTATCTCGTGAGAACAAAATCCGAGAACGTAAGGATCGCACATAATTATACGACTTTATCTTAGTCTGGAGAAATCTGCGTACGCAGATTGCGACACCCAAAGGGAATATATGAGGAAGACAACTATGATAAAGACATTATTAGTTCGCTAGCGTATGTCTGGGCGGGCAAGCAGGAGCCAAGTACATCTAACTATGAATATCACTACCAAGTACAGCTATGCTAGGCATGCGCAGCTGCAAAAGGATCGCATTATCCGCTGAGTACAGCACAGAGGATCGCGGAGCCTTTTAATCGGCGTTAGTTTTTCTCGCCGAACGTCAATTTTACATTATCCGCTGCAGATATATCACTAGGACTAACCTGCTCATCCAGCTTTCGAAAACAAACGCGGAGATATCGAGCACGATTCTAGACCTGAGTTTGGACAAGTTTACGTCAACTGAAACGAGTTTTGAAGAAACGCTTTAATAATTAAATGCAAATCTCGAAGATTCAGTTCAGCATTATGCGATCGATAGCTGACAGTGCACTCTTCTCATTTTGTACATCCAAGCGTAAACGTCTGCATTTTTGATGCTGCCAATTTAGTACACTGACAGTTGAGAATTTATAATACTCAAAAAGCACCCGTTTGGGTACATGTTGACATCACTCATCACAACGCATAAATTCCGGTTGCACACTTCTTCGATTCTCATCGCTCCTTCGCCTCCAGCGCAAGTACCAGCAATAGCGGATCTGCTACCGGTCCGTCATCTGCATCCGCGTTAACACAACTAACAAACTTCCATTCGTCAAAATATCACTCATCAGAGCACATTGCCCGAATGATTCGCACCACTCCATGTTCGCAGCCTAGCAAATATAGAAGCAAGGGTTGAAGTCACACACACACACACACACACTGGATACCACCAGAGTCGGGGTGTGCTTTGTCTCCAAGACCAATAACACACAACATCCACCTCATCGTCCAGCCAACTGAGCCCCACTCATCCCCCGTCCTTGCACCAAAGAATCCAGGGCGCTGATGCAAAACTGCAGGTCAAACTGAAACAGACAATTTCCCAACACCAGCGGTGGATTCACGTACCAACTCTGTCTGGTTACAAGGTAAAGCGACATTAGCTCAAGAGGCTGCGTGACACACCACTTATCCATGACTGCCACACATAATCTGACCGAATGCGACGTCGATGCCGTTACAGTAAGTCCCAAAAGTCTTGTCACTTTTTACTCTGTTACTCGGGGACCAAGGGTCACGCCTTCAGGTGAGAGGAGAACGCACTAAATTGCCAACAGCATTACGATTGATTCCATTACAACATTGTTGCGATGGGTAATGGTGCGAATACATTGTTGGGGTAGAATGAACGCCATGAGAAAATAGAACAAGATGGGTACGTGAGAAACGCGCGATCGCTCAATTGTCCGACAGTGTGCAGGCGTCGCTGTTGATGTTCGCTGTAAACTTGACGGCGGTGGACGAAACCGCTAAAGCTCAGTAGGTTGCATTAGGCACTTCTTGCAAGCCAGTCACGTACTTTCGTTGCAGATAAGACGCTTGCCAAGTAACTCAATCAGTAAGTCATCAGTACTATAAAACCTGTCCGTTTAGCTTCTAAGTCCTATGTGGCACATAGGCGCTATGCGCAAAGTCCTAGCTCATGTGACTAGACATTGTCATCTGTACAGTTCGTAACTGGCATGGCAGTGGAAAATGAGCCGGGCTATATCATAGTCAACTGTCAATCGCGCAGGTCTGCGGCTGTCATCCATCGTGAAGTGGCACTAGCTGCTGGCATCCCGAAGTCATGGGGGCGTAACCCGACAGGGGTCCGCTAGGGGCGCACCACTGACGAGACCCAGAATGTCGAAACGCCGGTGTCTGGTGTTTTTCCAGGCTAGCCTAAGCCTGGTGATTGGAAGTGACGATGATGAATTATCTGAATTAATTATGATTACTGCCATTCCTCTGTCAATCATGATTCTCACATGGCAAGGGAACTGTTGCTGGCAAGTAACGTAGGAGCTACAAGATAGAGATGATTTCATCACCGATTCTCGTTGGCGACTTCGGCAATTCGCTTCAGCTGTTATAGCTTCAAAATGGCGCACTTGCCTATTAAGCACAAACGGTGCGGGATTATCTTAACGGAGTGTTTGGTTACTGGTGGATCGATCGCGGAGGTCCAAAGGATTGGCCTGCGCGGTCACCAGATGTGAACGTCTTACATTTTTTCCTATGGAGTTATTTGGAAAGAAGAGTTTACAGAACAACGCCTATTTCACTGAAAGAAACTGACACGAATGTCGCGCCATCAACACGGAAAGTTTGCAAGAAGTTATAGCCTATTGCCTCAGGCGATTTCCGCACTGCAAGCAGAACGCCGGCGGGCACGTTGAGCATCTTCTTCGTTGACGGACATATCCCCATTTTATGCTGTTTAGGTTAATATACGTATTCACCGTTATCACTGATTTCTGGACTAAATTGGTGCACGGGCAAATGGTGCCAAAGGTGTGTCGGGCCAGATTGCATTTAACGAACAAAGCTGATTCGACAGCGCTTAGACTGACCACTTCTATGCAACTTGGTTCACAATGCCAATGCTTGTTTTTCATGGTTATGCCTAAGGAATACGGGGAGGATGTGAAGGAGATGGTGATGTGAGAATAGGCTACGCGGTTTCGTATTTTTATCATGTTCATCGGCGTACAGACTCTGGCGTGGGATGAGTGCTTCTAAACAATAACGTACCGGTCACATAAAGGGGAAAGAAAGATGGACCCCCGCTTTTCCAATAAAATACAGACCGTGAAAGCGTGGCTTATCGATCCTTTTGCATTTGATATTCGGAGTTTGCAGCAATATGTGTCAGAAAAAGTACCACAGGGATAACGGGCTTGTGGTGGGCAGTATGTGTGAGAACCCACATACGTGTGCTGTGGTCCCACGATTTGTCAATCAGTTTTGCGAGCCAATGAGCTTCGCGCTTTGTTGAATACGTGAATCTCAGTATCCGCGAGGATTAGATATTGCCTAGAAATGCAGGTTTTTAGTTCCATGCTAATGGAATATTGCCTCATCAGTGAATATGTTGGAATGAACGCTCAAGACTGTGACGGGAGAATAGGCTATGCGGCAGCGAGTAGTCTTTAGGCGGCATAGCTTTTCAAGACTCCTTTCTCAAAACGTTACATTTCATATTTGCAAGGCCTAATTGTAAGGAATGCCTATTTTGCTAAGGTGGGTTGTTGGAAGCTAACTTTCAGTCTACAAAAGCGTTGCCAATAACCCTTTTGTCATTAGCTGGGATAACAATAAGCACCCATTGAACAATCCTTGCTCAGGCCAGTTACGCCTGTCCAAGCGCCACCACAATTTTACCGCAGTAGCTCGGTAATGAGGTACTGCTGTCTTGATTTTGCACGCCTGCATTAGTTCCAACCAGCCCAAAAGACGGTATGTATCGATCGGTGAACTTGCTTTGTGGCGTGCCGTAGTTGACTTCAACTCAGCCATCCGCCCCCATAAGCGTTTTCACGATGAACCAGGCTGGCAAGTACACCTGTACTCAGATGTATGCATACGGCCTTCACTCCGGTCGTTCACACCCATGTGACCGGGTGAGAGACATTTGGAGATAGACCAACATCTACTATTGGACAGTTGGCAATTTAGTGCGCTCTCCTCTCACCCGAAGGCGTGACCCTTGGTCCCCGAGTAACAGAGTAAAAAGGGACAAGACTTCTGGGACTAACTGTAAACGTGCCTTTTATCACAATCTCGGCTCGCTCCTCTACAACACAACCACCTCAAGCACAGTTCTACGTGGATGGGATGTTAGTGAACGCCAAAGCTACTCCGAGACATCACCTGTGGGGTGGTTGCCGTTGTCTCCTAGCCGGACTGCTCCATCAAATTGCTGTCATCTTTAAGTTGAATTTGATTATGACACAGAGCAGTCAAGGTATCAGGGAAACTATCTCATTACAGTTGCCTGATGGTTGTACGATGGCCGGCTGCTTGAATTCGTGTGGTTTCGACAACGTGCACGCACACTGGTCTCGAACGCATGCTTAGCGTACTTGGGCCTTGCATTAGGTCATCTCTTTACTCCTGGTGATTTGTGTCAGTAGAAGCACGGGTCATAATCGCTGGGTGACAGAGGAACACCAATAGAAAGTGCTGATGTCTTATCGCCCCACACAGTGATGAATGCGATATGTAGTGGTTAGTTTGATTTCAACAAACTAAGCAGTTACATAGATAAAACAAGTTAAAGGATTCCAATCAGTCAATAAAAGCTGAGCTAGGGCTGGATGAGCCACAAAAGGCTGTGCGTCAGTCCTACTTTCCATCTGGTTCGGCCAGCCGTAACACACTAGGGTACTACAGAGTAAATGCAATGTCGATCGCTATGGTCTAAATTGAAAACAACCGCAAACGAAACGAGACTAATGCAGACGCACTGTGATTTTGTGAGTAAATGGTGGAATAACAGAACCGCATAGTCTTACCTAACGTGATAGGGATGTGATTATGGGGATTTTTTACAGGTACGAAACCGGAAAAGAGGAGTAATTCAGCATTGGTGCGTTTTCCATAATCCATGAAGATCTGCCAAAATGGATGGAAAGGTCACAAAGAAATACATCCAATACGGTTCGGTGGTAAGAAAGATTACAATAACGATCTCGTATACGTTAGGCAGGATATCACAACCGACGAAGTGAATCACCCACTACAAAAAAGAGCACGAAATGGGATAGAGCGGACGCTCGTGGAGAGTTTTATCAAACAATGCAAGTACAACAATGGCCAGTCAATTCTACGGCAACGAACAATGGGTAGTCACATAAGGCGAACTTTTGAAGTGGTATCAAAAGAAAAGATATTCCTCAAGCGGCACTAAGAACAGTGTGGCAATGAAGTGTCCATGTCGTACAAAATGCTTTTTGGAGCCATGGGTGAAAATATCGGACCAGCACCACAGGGGCCATACTCCCATGTGAGGACTCTGGACTACCGCAGAATTCACAGCGCCCAACTTACCAGAAATGTATCACGCAGAGCTATGATAGTGCCTGGTGGCAAGTGGATTTTAAAGACACCAAATGGCTCTTTTTAGGTACAGATACATGGGACAAGTTGTTGGCTCCAACGGGGATTACTGATAGAAGTGTTTCACACTCCGACCGTTGGTGTTAGGCAGTCATCATACCGAGTGTCCGGAGAACCAACTGATCAAACTGAACTATCTACACCTGTTACCATGCGTGTTTCGTAAACTTGTAGCCTGCCTATACACTTATTCTGCTGAGAATTCAGCAGGGCTGTTGAACTAAGGCTGTGTCCAGGCAAATAACCATGAGTGAGTAACTTGGTGTCAATTGTCATCCTAGAGAGCAGTCTTTCTGAGCATATCCACTGGAAGTAACAATAAGGGAGGTTGGAAATACCTTCTAGTGTGGTGCGGTGCGTTTACGGCGCACTTACGGATATGTTCTCATCCAGTGTTCACTCTGAGTTGCCTTCTTTCATGAAGCATTCCGTTGTTGTCAAGATTTCAGGGGAGGGATTCTGCAGGCATGGCCTAACGACACATGGCATAGAGGTCTAGAACAAAGGAACTTTTCAGGCGTGACCCCTCCCAAAAGCGTGTATCGTCACTAAACGAATTCAATCAACCAAGTCAGATGCGATCTTTACGTCAAAGAGGGTCACTATGGTGATATATTTGTGAGTACGAAGATGGATAAACATAGCGAAGAATCAAGATAGTTAATACTCCCTTTGCCGGTGCAGAGCTGTCACAGAGGCTAGCGAACCACCTAAGCACACTGCATAAGGAGCACACTGGGGCCAACTGGACAAGATTGGCGCTCTGGTGTTTTTTAAAATAATAAATCCCCTCTACTATTTTGAAGATTGGAAGTATGGTTGGCGATCGTTGCATAGTACCGAACAAACAGGCCGGCGCGATCATTGGTGGGCTGCTGCGGTCATCCAGTATTGGCAGTGGTAAGTCACCAGAGTCGACTGTGTTGTGTCGCGTGAGCAGCGCAAGTGTCAGCTGTGCGCCGTAACGACGCTTCGCTGCCGTGCGACCACAACCGGTCGCACGCGGGCTGAGTATACCGCGAGAACGCCCACTCCCACGCGGATTCGAACCCGCGCCGCAAGATTACGAGACAAGCTCGTTACCTCTAGGCTACGGGCCGCAAGTTCGTGTTGGAGTCTGTCCATGTTGGAAACCGATGCGTCAACACTCCAGGTAGGTTCAGGTGGCCCAACTCACCAGCTTTTCAGGGCGCTCAACCTAGTGCTTAAGCCTACTTGACTAAGAGTAAATCAGATATTCATCTTTATCAGCTAGCGAATCACTCACTCGAAGCAGTGAATCGAGAGAGTTGCAACAACAACCAGATGTTCCCGACAGCGTTGACTTTCTGTATTTAACGGGGTCTCACTGTACACCAACGCTATAGGTCAGAGTTATGAGCATTGCGAAGCTGTCATCGTAATGGACCCCGTATGCGTGTCTTGATCAGGATAATATAAACTAGGGAAATTTACCCACTATTCAGAAGTTATGTGGACTACCGACCAGAATATTCTTAACATGGTCCATTGGAGGCGATTTCAGTTAACATTGACCAGTTAGTCCACAAATCATCCGTCAGGGACAGCTGATGTTGCAATTCACATGGATATTTTTGCATCTGGGGATCGCGCTACAGCAAATAAATCCGAAACTGAGCAATTAGTCGAGGCAACGCAAATCTGATGGGCATCATCGGATGGTCAGATTCGCAGAAATGTGCCATTTACAGCTTATGAGTGGCAGGGCCAAACGGTATCCACGACAGAGTGTCATTTGATGGCTTTCATGTGACTTGAAGCAACCGCATGTAGCTGAAAGCTGTGCTGCTGATAAGGTCTGCGGTCGGAGCACCGCTGAAGTAGTCTCTCGCTATTGTCAATACGACGAACATTGACCTCCGAAACGGTCTCCGGGACGATGATTTAAATCTAATAAGCGACCAACTTCAGCGCTCGTGAAGTCCGCAAGCAGCACCATATTCGTGAGTGTTGCCACACCAATAAAACAAGAAATTCACTAAGAAAATGCGTTGTTGATGGTTTTCGCGATACAGTTGGATGGGTTGTAAGTTGAAACAACAAAAACAGGTCGCTATTCAGCGCACATTGTTGTTTTCGATAGAACATACAAGTTGAACCACTAACAAGCGTTTGTTCACTGGGATACCTCCGTTGGGACAAGCCTTGTACGCCTGCTGGGCGTGACACCCACATCTCAAATATCGCGAGTTGTGAATTCGGCGTCGTCGGAGTGCGTAAAGTATGTCAACTGAACCCGAGTCTAGTCATCATCATCAATACACGTTAACCAAGGATGAAAAACACACCTCAGCTAAGGTGCCGCACTACAAAAAGATATGAGATGAAACACTACAGAGTACAAAAGCTAAAAGGGTAACATACTACAAAAGGGGGAATAGATAAAGAAACTGTCAATGCAAATGGCACTGAGGTCAGCTATTCGTTATGTTAGCTAGCGTATCCAGCCAAACGTGTTCATCGTCCTTCGGACCCCACCCCGACAGTCAGGAGACACTAACCGACGCCAACTTGAGGGTATTCATTCCTCCTGATTAAGTTATCATTTGGCCTCTCCTTTTCCTCTTCCATCTACACCCCGGTGCGCAAACAACGCACGACTCGGGAGTCGGTGAGCTGGCATGCGCAATACGTGGCCCAGCTATCGAAGCCCGGTGTGTGATATAATGGTGCCGAACGATTCACTCGCTCTTCCTGCACCAAATACGCGGAACCGAACATTCTCATAGCTCACGCGGTGCTGCAACCAGACGCGAGCTAAGTAGCGCAGGCAGTGGTGGTCGAACGAAGATAGCGTCTTTGTTTTTCAACTTAATGGGCCACGTTTCATAACCGCATAAGAGGGTTGAACGGACGGCTGCATTGCAAACCCTGCCCTTCCGAGCAAGAGTGATGTCATGACAGCACCACAACTGGCAGAGATTGGCAAAAGCACATCGAGCTTTTGCTATACGGTTCGTGATCTCATCTTTGATTCCGCGAACGCTAATATAGCTTCCCAGATAATTGAAGTTATGAACGACTTCTTACTGATCACTGCCAAGGGTCAGCGCAGGATTAGGTCCCTGCCAATTTTGGAGAAGAACTTTGCATTTCGAAGGTGCAAAGCACAGCCCGAAGCGACTGATAGCCAGAGCTAATTTATTCAGTGCTGCTTGGCACGCTTGGAAGCTGTCACAGATTAGGGCAACGTCGTCCACGTACTCCAAGTCGAGAAGTCGCTCACCAGGAGGCAGCGCCACACCTTGCAGGTCGCGTCCAGTGAATGCCGTTTCCATGACTATTAACGGCGAAGTTAAAATGAAAAGGTGCCATCGTTTTGTCTGGCATTATTTGTTAGCCTACAACCACAACAATTACTACTACTACTACTACTACTACTACAACTACAACTACAACTACAACAACAACAACAACAACAACAACAACAACAACAACAACAACAACAACAACAACAACAACAACAACAACAACAACAACAACAACAACTACTACTACTACTACTACTACTACTACTACTACTACTACTACTACTACTACTACTACTACTACTACTACTACTACTACTACTACTACTACTACTACTACTACTACTACTACTACTACTACTACTACTACTACTACTACTACTACTACTACTACTACTACTACTACTACTACTACTACTACTACTACTACTACTACTACTACTACTACTACTACTACTACTACTACTACTACTACTACTACTACTACTACTACTACTACTACTACTACTACTACTACTACTACTACTACTACTACTACTACTACTACTACTACTACTACTACTACTACTACTACTACTACTACTACTACTACTACTACTACTACTACTACTACTACTACTACTACTACTACTACTACTACTACTACTACTACTACTACTACTACTACTACTACTACTACTACTACTACTACTACTACTACTACTACTACTACTACTACTACTACTACTACTACTACTACTACTACTACTACTACTACTACTACTACTACTACTACTACTACTACTACTACTACTACTACTACTACTACTACTACTACTACTACTACTACTACTACTACTACTACTACTACTACTACTACTACTACTACTACTACTACTACTACTACTACTACTACTACTACTACTACTACTACTACTACTACTACTACTACTACTACTACTACTACTACTACTACTACTACTACTACTACTACTACTACTACTACTACTACTACTACTACTACTACTACTACTACTACTACTACTACTACTACTACTACTACTACTACTACTACTACTACTACTACTACTACTACTACTACTACTACTACTACTACTACTACTACTACTACTACTACTACTACTACTACTACTACTACTACTACTACTACTACTACTACTACTACTACTACTACTACTACTACTACTACTACTACTACTACTACTACTACTACTACTACTACTACTA